CCAATTTCAGGATACACTGATGTCTGACAAAGCTCAACTCGCTGCAACCTCGTCGACCAACGCTCTCTGGCGTCTCCAAGCAAGAGGTTCAACAACCAAGGCCTTCAGCGCTCAAGATGCTCAACACCGACGCATACCAAGGCGCAACAAACGAGACTTCGTGGCCAGATAAGTTCCTGACCAGTTCCCGCGCTTCACTCCCATGATGTTTCGCGCCTTTCATTCCCGCTCCCTCATGCATCTCAAGCTCGCTGCCAGCGAACCACGCTTCACATGAGCCGTTTCCCTGGTTAAGGTTAAGGTTAGGAGGTCAGGTCCCCTCAGGTGTTCAGGTATGGTACATGGCTCTTGTGTTAGCTGTGGTAAGCTATCATGCATGCATGCTACTTCATGCTCATACCAGCCATCATGCACGTGTATGTTTTGTTCCCTTGGATGCTCCACTGCAGCTTGTACTCACTCTCCCCTATCTTTTCCTCCTTGACTGGCAGATGCTCTTCTGAAGGCTCCACAACCAACACCCTCTGGCGTCTCCACTCAAGAAGTTCAACAACCAAGGCCTTCAGCGCTCAACATGTTCAACATCCAAGTCCTTCAACGCTCAAGATGTTCAACATTAAAGACCTCAACGCTTAAGAAGTTCAATACCCAAGACCTTCAACGCTCAAGATGTTTACTACCTACACATACCAAGGCCCAAGAAACGATGCTTCATACCAGATAAGTCGTCTCCTATTCCCGGCTTTTTTTTACCCAGTTTTCGCACTTCAATGTTATTCGTGCTTTTCATCACTGCATACCATTCCCGCTCCCTCATGCATCTCAAGCTCGCTGCCAGCGAACCACGCTTCACATGAGCCGTTTCCCTGGTTAAGGTTAAGGTTAGGAGGTCAGGTCCCCTCAGGTGTTCAGGTATGGTACATGGCTCTTGTGTTCGCTGTGGTAAGCTATCATGCATGCATGCTATTTCATGCTCATACCAGCCATCATGCACATGTATGTTTTGTTCCCTTGGATGCTCCACTGCAGCTTGTACTCACTCTCTCCTATCTTTTCCTCCGTGACTGGCAGATGCTCTTCTGAAGGCTCCACAACCAACACCCTCTGGCGTCTCCACTCAAGAAGTTCAACAAATAAGCCCTTCAGCGCTCAGCATGTTCAACATCCAAGTCCTTCAACGCTCAAGACGTTCAACATTAAAGGCCTCAACGCTTAAGAAGAATACCCAAGACCTTCAATGCTCAAGATGTTTACTACTTACACATACCAAGGCCCAAGAAACGATGCTTCATACCAGATAAGTCGACTCCTATTCCCGGCTTTTTTTGACCCAGTTTTCGCACTTCAATGTTATTCGTGCTTTTCATCACTGCATACCATTCCCGCTCCCTCATGCATCTCAAGCTCGCTGCCAGCGAACCACGCTTCACATGAGCCGTTTCCCTGGTTAAGGTTAAGGTTAGGAGGTCAGGTCCCCTCAGGTGTTCAGGTATGGTACATGGCTCTTGTGTTCGCTGTGGTAAGCTATCATGCATGCATGCTATTTCATGCTCATACCAGCCATCATGCACATGTATGTTTTGTTCCCTTGGATGCTCCACTGCAGCTTGTACTCACTCTCTCCTATCTTTTCCTCCGTGACTGGCAGATGCTCTTCTGAAGGCTCCACAACCAACACCCTCTGGCGTCTCCACTCAAGAAGTTCAACAAATAAGCCCTTCAGCGCTCAACATGTTCAACATCCAAGTCCTTCAACGCTCAAGACGTTCAACATTAAAGGCCTCAACGCTTAAGAAGAATACCCAAGACCTTCAATGCTCAAGATGTTTACTACCTACACATACCAAGGCCCAAGAAACGATGCTTCATACCAGATAAGTCGACTCCTATTCCCGGCTTTTTTTGACCCAGTTTTCGCACTTCAATGTTATTCGTGCTTTTCATCACTGCATACCATTCCCGCTCCCTCATGCATCTCAAGCTCGCTGCCAGCGAACCACGCTTCACATGAGCCGTTTCCCTGGTTAAGGTTAAGGTTAGGAGGTCAGGTCCCCTCAGGTGTTCAGGTATGGTACATGGCTCTTGTGTTAGCTGTGGTAAGCTATCATGCATGCATGCTACTTCATGCTCATACCAGCCATCATGCACGTGTATGTTTTGTTCCCTTGGATGCTCCACTGCAGCTTGTACTCACTCTCCCCTATATTTTCCTCCTTGACTGGCAGATGCTGTTCTGAAGGCTCCACAACCAACACCCTCTGGCGTCTCCACTCAAGAAGTTCAACAACCAAGGCCTTCAGCGCTCAACATGTTCAACATCCAAGTCCTTCAACGCTCAAGACGCTCAACATTAAAGGCCTCAACGCTTAAGAAGTTCAATACCCAAGACCTTCAACGCTCAAGATGTTTACTACCTGCACATACCAAGGCCCAAGAAACGATGCTTCATACCAGATAAGTCGTCTCCTATTCCCGGCTTTTTTTGACCCAGTTTTCGCACTTCAATGTTATTCGTGCTTTTCATCACTGCGTACCATTCCCGCTCCCTCATGCATCTCAAGCTCGCTGCCGGCGAACCATGCTTCACATGAGCCGTTTCCCTGGTTAAGGTTAAGGTTAGGAGGTCAGGTCCCCTCAGGTGTTCAGGTATGGTACATGGCTCTTGTGTTAGCTGTGGTAAGCTATCATGCATGCATGCTACTTCATGCTCATACCAGCCATCATGCACATGTATGTTTTGTTCCCTTGGATTCACTCTCCCCTATCCTTTTCCTCCTTGACTGGCAGATGCTCTTCTCGAGGCTCCACAACCAACACCCTCTGGCGTCTCCTCTCAAGAAGTTCAACAACCAAGGCCTTCAGCGCTCAACATGTTCAACATCCAAGTCCTTCAATTCTCAAGACCTCAACATCTAAGGCCTCAACACTACATGTTCAACACCCAAGACCTTCAACGCCCATTGAGGAGACAAGGCTTCACATTAAATTCCCAGAAGGCGAATTGCTTACACACTCAAAGTAACTGCTTATGTTAGTCCAAATATTTGTAGCACTGAATAAATGGTACGGTATGTTTAGGTTTCTTTTTCTAGATGTTCAATTCAGGCCTAGTACTACCTGGTGAAAACTCGTCAGTCATCCCAGCTCAGCAAAATATGAAGGCCGCGAAAAGTAATCTCGCCCCGCGAATATGTCTATTAACACCACTGGCGTATTAGTGATCGCCGCTCGTGCATATTCAGATCAGCCTTCTAGCGACGCTGCGTCGCCCAGAGTCACAATGTCCTCTCGTTGACTCTTCTCGCTCGTGAATTGAGTCGGCAGCAATAAGGGCGTGCTTTACTGAGTTCAACATTCGGTGGTAGTGTTGGTTACAAACTCGTCACTGTAATTAACTCCGGATTGAGAAATGGTTCGTTTATCTATTCAAGACGTTTCCACGTTGGCTTGCGTGTTCTCACCGCGCGTCACACGCAACATGCAATAGCTGGGAAGCCTTTTATGGCTTGGCGGCTCGCAATCTCCAACTGTTTGTTAATTGTGGCTTCCCCTCGCAGTTCGTCGCAGCCATACTAGTTGTCGCCGTTGTAGCCGCCATACTAGTAGTCCTCACTCCGTTTAGGCTTGTTGGTCGTTCAGTTGCCACGACGACCTAGAATCTTCTGCCTAGACCACGTGTTGGCTGTTTGCTGCGTGTTCAGTAACGTGCCTTGGTGCGTGGATTGCCTGGAGCAGTAACCCCGTGTGTATTCTGAAAGCAATGATGCGACTGGGAGGCACCAGTCGTTCGTGGGGCCGTCTGCGCGTACCACAGTCCCGCGCGCAAGGAGACTCGAGGTCGCAGGGAAACGAGATGGCGATCAAAAGAAGCGCTTGGGACGAGGTGGTATTGGTTTGTGGGAGGAAGAGACGCGGTATAGCCGGCTTTTTGCTCCTGTCGCTACTCACCTTCAGCGCCATTAACTCGTTGCTGCACTCGCCGACCTTTAAAAGCGGCATCTTCACGTGTACGCTTCTTGATTTCAGGCAGACTCCGCCATTTGAGAGCGCTGCAGTGGACTTGTAAACTATTGTCGAGTTTCACGAGTCTCGTTTTCCACGTTCGCAATTCACGAATGCCCATGTTTTCCCCCCGTGTTTCTGCGCTCGTTCCATTCCAGTAACTGCAGAAACAGCATGGCCGAAACACGGGGATGCGAGGGAGAAGGGGGAAGGGAGGGAGAAAGTGAAGGTCGAAGAGGAGGGGGCGGAAGAGGAGTGCGGCTTGGAGGAGGAGCGGCGGGCGGGGGAGGGGTGGGACGTTACGAAGGCAGCGAGGTTCGGGCGAGTGGAGGTGAAAGGGGCGGGGGCGGAGTGGGCTGTAGCCAACCACCGCACGTGCTTCTCCGTGACAGGTGGGACTGGACGACTGGGGAGAGGAGGTCGGCATGCGAATGCAGTAGCTTTGTTTTGACACGTGAGACAGGTGCTATGGAAGGCAGGTGATTCTTTCTTTCTTCAAAAGGCAGGAAGGGACTGTTCAGCATAGACGCAAAGAATTCTGTCCAGCTCGCTCTCTACCTTATTACAATATGGTTTACAGAGTTTAGTAATAATTGAATGTGCGCGTACTCGTTCGTATTTGTGTGCGTGTGTGTTTCGGTGCAGCCTATGACAAGTCTGGACATCCGTTTGACTCAGGCTGCATGTGAGCTCCAACCATGTTGCCCTCCTCACAGCACCCACTCATGTTGCTCTCCACCGCATCACCCATGTGTAATTGCAAGACATGGTGACTAATACAAGAGCATCGTTCACGGAGGTAATGATTGCAAGGTCTCTTCTTCCTCGCCATTCACGGTGACCGATTTTGCAGGCAGCGTGCTTTCTTCGTGGCTCTTCTGAGGCTGGAATCTAACAGCAGCAGCAATGCCAGCAGCAATGCCAGCAGCAGCAACAGCAGCAGCAGCAGCAGCAGCAGCAGCAGCAGGAGGCAAGGCGAGGGGGGGGAGCAGCAGGATATGACAATGAGATCTGCTAGATTGACAGAGGTTCCTGCAAGGGCTGATTCTCTCAAGGGGTGGACAGACCTGCGACTGGCCGCTCAAGTCAACTACCGCCATGCCTCCTCCTCCCACCAGGTGCTTGTCTCACCGTCACTCTCCTCTGCTGCTAAACCCCCTCCCCCCCCTTCCCCCGCTCGCCTACTGTTCCATTCCACACATCCACATCACTCTGCTTGCTCCTCATCTTTCCGCTCACCTTCTGCCCCTGCTGGGTATGCTCTCACGGAAGCACAGGTTGTTCCCTGTGTTGTTCTTATGCCCGATGCAGCTTTTTCTGTTGCTTGCTGCGTGCGTCCCCCCCAGGTGTGTTTTACAGCACCGGTGCCTGGCCCCTACCTGCTCTCGCTGCATCTGCTCTTCATCAATGCCTTCCAGCTGCGCACCAACCGCTCCCCCGCCTTCAACCACGGCTATGCCGGGTACGCCGGGTGAACCTGGTGGGATGGGAGCATGAGAGCATGGTTGTGATGCTGTGTGGTGTGCATTGAAACATGCTTCACCACCTGTGCGTGCCTGTTGCATGACATGCCTCGCCCCTTGCCTTTTCTTGCCCCTTGCCCAGGTACGAGCTGGTGTTTTCTCGAGTGATCCGGGTGGTGGCCCCTCCAACGTACTTCCCCCTAGCACTCCGGTGAGTACCGTCACTTTCCCTACCACACGTGCCATGCCAATCAGTTTCGGGTCTGGAAATGGTCTGTTCTATTCCGCGCTGCCTGCTTTGCTGTCGCGTCTACTTCGCTTGGCTCTGCTACTCTGCTCTTCTCCACTCCCATCTGCTCTGTTCTGCTCTACTCTGTGCTCCATCCATGCCCTCCAATCCCCACGCACGCATGCACCCACCAGCGCCCTGCTGCCATGGTGCACGGCGGACATGCTGCGCACGCACGGCAACCAGGGGTACTGGCTGCAGCACAAGTGGATGCCCCATGCCTGCCGCCTGCGCACTGTCACCCCCGTCGATGCCCTCTCCTGCTTCCACCGCCATAAAAACGTCCTCATCATGGGTACTTGCTCGTCCATGCTATAGGGAAAAGTGTCGAAAAAATGATGGCCCAAGAACGAGTAACAGGTTCCTTACTGACTAGATTTTGTGTTTCCAGGCGTGCTTGGGTTTGGGCGTCGGGTGGCTGGTCCCACGTGCGTCAGTGCATGTAGCCCTCTTCTGGGTTGCCCTCCCTCCCTGGTGGTGCGTGCAGGCGACTCCGAGATGCGCTTCTTCTTTGGCTTTCTCACCCACTTCCTGGTCAACCGCACGCGCGGGACGTATCTGCGCTCCATGGGGGGCGACCTGCAGGCACGTCACTGCATGGATTCCTGCCCCTTGCTCTTGCACTGCTCCCTGCGTGTGTTGCCCTGCACGCTTTGTGTTGCGTTGCGTTGCATTGCACGGCGTGAGTACGGTGTTGCCTCATTCTTGTCTCTGCCCAGTGATCGTGCCTACGCTACGCTACATCCTGCATCCTTCCACCCTTCACCACGCTCCATCCCTTGGCACTGCACCACACCACACCCATGTACGCCCATCACCCCGGCAGGCCTTTCACGGGTTGCAAAGCCTCCCCAAGACCACCAATTACACGGACGGCAGCGGGGAGCTCCTGCGCACGCCAGTGCCCTTCCCCCCACCCCGCTTCACCTTCTACGGAGGGCTCCACAATGGCTTCACGCGCCAACAGTGAGTCACACCGCTCCACTACTCACTCCACTGACTCCATGGCCTGAGAATGTGAATCCAGTCGTGGTGTGTTGGTGTGTTTGAGTGAGGCAGGTCAATCGTATGGTGGGCGAAACCAACAGTAATGTTGGGAAGAGGAGTGGCGTGTGAGGGACTTTGCTGCTCTGGCCTCTGCACTGCCAGTAACGGACCAGAAGCCGCTGCTGTAACTCCTGAAGTTTCTTCTCAGCCTGCTCTTGTGAATCTTTTGTCGCAGGTTCAATGTGAGCATGCGTGGGCGTACTTACCTCTTTAATCTGACGTACGCGTCTCACATGGGGGCGAAGCACGAGGTGCTGCCGGGGTGGATGTACAACACGAGCCTCACGGGGGGCGAGGTGGTGAGCCGCCCAGACACACCCTTCCGCCTCGCCGCCTACGGCTCTTCGCTGCATGACCTCATCACATTGGATACTGCGCAGGACTATGCACGCGTCGCTCGTGAGTGGAATCATGTGGGTTTGTTTGAAGTGTTCATTTTGCTCATGAGTATTGTGCTGGCTGGCTAGCTTGTCTGCGTGGGGTGGCTGTGTTCGGTTGGTTTTTTTCGCTATGCTTGAACCTCCTTTGCCGCACCTGCTTCTTTCTCTTGTGCGCATGCAAGTGTTGCACGTTTCTCTCATACGCCTCATCATCACGATGCCTCCGTGCTCCCCATGCCTCCGTGCTTCCCGTGGCCCTCGCAGGCTCGCATCTACTGCCCAGCCTGCGACGGCTCTTGCAGGACCCGCGGCGGGTGACCGCGTTTGGGCCGTGGGCGGCCCGGGAGGACAGCAAGCCGCGCTGGATGCTCTTCAAGAGCGACAACGTGCGCGGCCTGGCCTTCGAGCAGGAAGCTGCCAGGTGGGTGGCGTGAGCGGAGAAAGGCCTTCAAGTGAGTGGTGCTGGAGGAGGAGGAGGCTTCCGGGTGGTTGGGATGGAGGGCTGTAGTGGATGGGTCATTGCTGTCTGCCTCTGTGCAGTGTCGCCTGCAGGGGATGGGCTGGTAATGTGGTGCTCGTGGTTCTCGTGATGCTGGTGGAGCTGGCGTTGGGCTGAGGAAACCCTGGCTGCTCTGCTGGGTTCTGGGTTGGAATTTGAGAAGGGAGTAAGCAAGGTTGAGGGTAGGAAGTGGGCTGATGGGGAGTGTTGGTGTTGGTAGTGATTTGGAGAGTTTGAAGAATCACTTGATGGTGTGTTGTGTGTGGTACCACGTTTGTAGAATTGTTCTCACCACCACTTACTTTTAACCTGTGCAGGGTGCTGCCAAGGGAAGGGTTTGGTAACTTCATCCCGTTGACAATGCTCACTCTTCCTCGCCCGGATTTGACCATAGACAGCACACACTACTCCTGGGTTGTTACACTTGCTATGCTGGACCTATGGTTAACTACTGTATGTTAAGTAAATTGAAGGCGCTTGAATATAATATGGCTGTTACAAAAGAAGATTTTTTTTTTGGAACGAGGGCTTTTGGGTGAACAAGGAAGGCAGAATGCTTTTGGCATCTGTAATGGGTGTGCTTATCGGGGTACGCAGAATTGCCCTAAGAAGGTTAGGACGCGTAACAATTGCAGCACCGACCCTGTGTAGGGTCGGTGCTCACAATGTACAGTTTCTTCGTCAATCGACGGAAAGTATGTATCCCGATTTCGCTTATCTTGACGCGATGATCGTGAATTTGCAGATTGACGAGATCGTATGGCTTGAATTGCCACATCAATCGTGCGATTGGCAGCTCGGGAAACGAAATCGCTCCACCAGTGCCAGCCACGATCGATCGCCGTCGCAAACCATCGACCACTGTCGATGTGGTAACAGGGCGACATTGTCGCAAGTCAGGCGGAACTGCACGACGTGCCAGCGAATTTCGGCTCCTGCGCTAGAAGCGGGGTGTACCCTTGGCATGGAGGTCCCCCAACCACTTGCAAATCTGGTCGCGTCCCAATTGGCTCGGAGAAGCAGCCTAACACTGCTCATGCGGATTGAAACCCGTTTCTCATTCGCGACGCGATGCACACATGTTCGGTATTCGGTCCTGATCCTCCCCGGTGTTGCAATTGTGACGCGTCCTTACTTTTCCGCCGGGCGAATCCCAACAAGAGGCGTGAAGAAGAAGCAATCCCGCAAGCCAGTCGTCCCTCTTCCTTTCCACTTCGTCAGCAGCATCACAGCCAGATCCCTCCATCGCTGAGGGCATCACCCATTTACACATGATGCTCGTTTGACTAACCCAAGGTTGCCTTGTGAAGGGAGCTTTTGAGTGTTTCTCGGCAATTCGCAAATTTCGTCAACGTCCCACTTAGCAAAAAAGGGCTTATAAAATTTTTGTAACTCTTGTTGACTGTTTAACTTTGGTATCTTCAGTTTGACTTTGGTTTCTGTGGTTACTATTGGTTCATAGTCAATGCAGCTTGCTTGGGGAGCTTGTAACGTGACTGCAACTGGCTGGCGCAAAATACACGGGTGCAGAGTTTCTGCCGCGTACAAGGCAAATTCGCGCGCAGCAGTTGAGCAACATGTGTACACCTGCTGCTCTCATCTGCCTGATGTCGTCAGCCGACAAAAGCCTGCCTTGCCGTAACCGTCTACAGAGGGCGACCACCAGAACGACGGTTACAGAAGGCGTCTTAGCGTGTCGATCACGCTAACGCAACCTCCGGCTTCAGCTCTTCATGGGCCGGCCGGCCACTCAGTCGCGGTGACGTGTAGCAGACTCAGCTGCAGCCGCACGCGTGCATTCTCAGTCCCGTGCTTGCAGTTAGGAAACTGTACTGTACAGTACACTGTGATTCGCCTCGTGAGATAGGATTCGTCCACATCAGGCTAGTAGATCTTCCCTTGCACCTGAGGCGGTGTTGTCGTTTATTGGCATGGCTCACGCAACAGGGTTTCCTGTTGATTCGGCTTGCCTGAGCGGCGCGTGCAGTCAACGCAGTCAACGGCGGTGGCGTGCACCAAGCTCGCGATTCCGCGACGCGCTAGGCCCTCAGGCTTCACGTTCCGCTGCAACAGGATCTGGCTCGCGAGAGAAAAGCATGCTGCGAGTACGTACTTAAACTGGCAACCCCCCAGGGTCCCGACCCCAGGCCAGTTAACAGTCACCAAAGAATCCTGCTCTCTCCAGTTACCGCTCGCATTGCCCGCTGCAACCGTCTCTCTGGGCGTCCTTTTCCGCCGCTGGTGCCATGTGTAGTTCAGTTCAAGGGTTTTCCATTCGCAAGACAATGGCTCGTGTGCTGGTAGCGACGCCCCGTGCACAGACACCTTCAGCACCTGCAGCACCACCAGCCGGTCGAGCATTATGCTGCCCGCCCCGTCGTTTCCCCGCGCTGCTGCTTCTGAAGCCGCCGCTGCTGCTTTTGCTGCTGACGGCGCTGCTTCTGCTGTCTGCAGTGTCCCCGTTACAAGCACAGACTCAGTCGTTTCGTACCCTTACTTTCTTCAACGCGTCACAAGGTGAGAAGGCGATCGTTGCTGCTTCGTCTCCCTTGTATGTATCCATTTTCCCGTGCCCTTTCCAACGCTCAGTGCACCCACTGCCTACCCTCACCGGCGCACCATCCCCCCACAATCCCACCTTCCCCCTCGTCTCCGCCAGGCGCGGTTCTGGCGGAGGTGCAGCGCGAGTGGGGGGTGAGCTGGAGCCAGTGGCGGGAGGGGGGCGACTGCTCTCAGGCGCAGGGGCTGGCGTGTGACGCGCAGGGGCGGATCGTGAGCATGTGAGTGCTGCCGCTGCCACACAACAGTGGCACGCACACGCTCTTGCTCCCTCCACATCGCTCGTGTGCTGTGCTTCCAAACATCTCACGCCATTATATCGTCTTTCTAGTGGCCCCTCTGCTGCCCCTCCTGCCTGTCCTCTCCTACCTCCTCCTAACCACCCTCACATGGCAAACCCCACGCCCCCGCACGTTCCCCTGTTCGTTTCGTCTCCTTCTGTCCCCTTAGCAATCCCATGCCGTCTAACAGCTGCTGATGACCTCATGTGTGGCAGTTCATGAGTTGACTATCAAGCCCATGCCATGCCACCCAACGGCATGATAACCCCATGCATGGCAGGTATCTCCCCAATGCGCGCCTGCATGGACCCATCCCGCTCGCCATCGGCCGTTTCACGGGGCTCACCATGCTGTCAGTACCCCTGCCTCTGCCTGCCGCATCCCCCCTTGCTACACGCCACACACCGTGCCGTGCCCTTGTGTCGCATGCCATGCCCTGACATGTGTGCCATGCACCATGTGCCATGTGTTCCGTGCCCTGTGCCATGCCATGCGCAATGTGCTCCCTCTTACCTCTTCCCCGTCCCATGCCACCACCCTGTCGCCACTCCTCCCCTCTCTCACGCGCACAGTGATCTCAGCAGCAACAGCCTGGGTGGCTCTCTGCCCTCCTCGCTCGGTCTGCTCCACAGCCTCGCCCATCTGTGCGTGCTTCCACTCCCCCAGTGGATGCTTCCATTGTATTTCAACTCGCACGCGAGTCCTGGCGCATACATGCGTGATAACGGCATTTCTCTGTGAGCTGCCCTTTCCATACGCTGCAACCTCCCGTTTTCAACTCTAACCCCTCTTTTACAATCTGCAACCGCCCTCTCTCTGTTCTCGTGTGCCTGTGTGTTTCAGGGACGTGAGCGACAACAATCTCAACGGCTCCTTGCCTGCTTCCCTCTCCGCGCTCTCAGGCCTCTCGCACCTGTGAGTGACCCCCTGCCATGCGTCATGCCGCGTGCCACACACGCATGGGTTAAGCACATCCACCAATGCGCCTCTCTCACGCATGACGACCAGTATGCTCTATGCTCATGCACTCCTCCTTTCTCCCCCTCCGTCATTCCTCTCCTCGCCTAACCTCTCTTGTTCTCCCAGCAACATGAGTTTCAACCTTCACTATTTAGGCGACAGCAATGGCATATCAGAGTCTGACCTCTCCCCACTGCTCCGCCTCTCGTCTCTCTCCGTCCTGTAAGGCTGCCTGCCTTCTGTTCATCTTCCTCTCGCTCCTCTTCACTCTCCTTCCCTACCTTGGACCAACCAATCCACACAAGGCTTTCCACGTGAGGCTCTCCATCTACTATTTTTCTTTTTTCTACCCACTACCTTTGTTCCCTGACTTCACTACCTTCAAACTGTCTCTCCGTTGCCTCTCCTTCCCTGGTCAACTCCCACCCATCATTCCCCCCCGTGACGACCGGCAGCGATCTGAGCTACAACCAGATGGGAGGCCCGTTCCTCTCCTCGCTGCACCTCCTGCCCAACCTGCACCACCTGTGAGTGCTGCCGTGCCCACGAGCTCTTGCACGGTGGTGCCTGTTTCCTCTCACCCTCATTCTCCTCTGTTCTTTTCTCGTTTGGATGCTTCTTCATTGCCCCTACTCCCTTCTCTCACCTGTCGCTCTCTCCTATCTCCTCCCGGCCTCTCCTCTCGCCCCTCTCCCCAGTGCCACCCCTTCCGATCTTCCTCTTACCATGAAGTTTGCTTCCTCCCTCCTTCCCCGTGCAGCAATCTGCGGTGGAACCAGTTCCTTGGTCCGCTGCCCTCCAATCTCTCCGCACTGGTCAACCTCACCTTCCTGTGAGAGACTCTTTGGCCGCCTTCACCGCACCATGCCGCCACCGGCTCTGCAACACAAAGTGTCATACACACTTTTCGCTTCAAACTTGCACTTTGACGGAGTGTTTGAGTTGGAGGCGATTCTCCAATCTTCCTTGTTCAGTGGTTGACGCCAGTCTAAATCTCTCTTTGCCACCTCCTTGCTCTCCTTGTGCGTCTTGTTGTCTGTGGCTGCTCCTGCGACCAGGGACATAAGCCTCAACATGCTATGGGGCTCCATCCCTGCCACCATTGCGCAGCTCTCTCTTCTCAACACGCTGTCAGTGCCACGAACCACGCATTGCACCACCACCCACCATACCCACCATCCTGCACTGCACTGCAGCAGACTGCTCCGTGCATCGCTGCATGTCCACCGCCTTTGCTACGTGGGCACACCGGCACACATCACCACACACACACGTTCTGATTGCGTCCGTCACTTGTTCCTCTCCTCGTTCATGCCTGGTTCGTTGCACCTCGCTTCCCCCCTGCGTGTGTCTCTGCGCGTTCGTCTGCCATGCAGGAGGCTGCGGGGCATGAGTCTGTTCGGGTCTGCTCTGGAGGGCTCCATCCCTGCGTCCCTCTTCTCCCTCGCACTACTCACTGCGCTGTACGTGCACACATTTGAGGCGCCTCAAAAATCCTTTTGAGGCGCCTCAAAACTCTGGAGGGCTCCATCCCTGCGTCCCTCTTCTCCCTCACGCGCCTCACTGCGCTGTACGTGCACACATTCCCTATTGCCTCGTGCTCGTGGTGCTACTGCCTGTTCACACGGCGAACTGCCACTGATTGGATTGCACCGCGACCAGCCTGTGGGAGTGAGTGAGCCGCCGTTCTGCTCACACCACATGATGCTCATGTTGAGAGGGCTGCCCTGCCCTGCCCTGCCATGGCATGGCATGGCATGGCTGGGCTTGGTCCCAACCCAACCACACTCCATGCTCTTCTCTCCCGCTTTCACGCCTCCCACCAACCATAGCCTGAGAATGCTTTCGTCAATCAGTTACATCGTCCTCTTTCTTTTCTTCCTGACCCATCCACTCTCTTTACCCCGTTCGCCACCCTCCCACCCACCCTCTTCCTTTTCCGCTCTTCCAGCGATTTGAGTGATAATTCGCTCTCTGGCTCCATGCCTGATGACATCAGCAAGCTGTCTCCACTGAAGCAGCTGTGAGTCGCCCCTCCATGAGCCACTATGCGCCGTGTCATGCGTTTTCACCTCTCGCCATGCCATGTATCAAACCTCACGCCGCACGACAGGCAAAGCTGCTGCTCTGTGCCACGCCGCGCAAAGCAGTCGAGATTCGCGCTTGGCAACTCTCACAAGTCACCACACAGAATGCACGAATGACAAACCTCACGCCCTGTGTTGCCGCACTCGTTTCCCTTCCATGGCCCGTTGCGCCCTCCCTTGCTCACGCCCCCCCACCAGTCGCCTGGGATGGAACATCCTCCATGGGCCTGTGCCGGCTGCTGTGGGCCGCCTGCAGCTGCTGGAAGAACTGTGAGCACCAGGAGGGATGGGGAGATGGGGGCGCAGGGTACAGTGGGGAGGTGACTGGGGAAAGGGTATGGGGGAGAGCAGGCATGGTGTGGGTGAGGTGTGGTGGGTCAGAAGAGAAGCTGTGACGTTGGGCTTGCTGTTATCGGCTGTTTTTGAGAATTCTCAAAATCAATTTGTGATGCTGGGCTTGCTGTTACTGGCTGTTTTTTTTGTGCAGAAGCACTTGCTCTTGTACTTGCTCTCTGCACAGCATAGGCATGCTGTCTTGATGGGTGACTGCTCCTTGGCATGGTGAATGCTGCGTCTCATCTCACGCGCTCCCTCTTCTGCCACGGCATCTCCATCATGACTGCATGCATGGCACTGCATGACGCATGGGGCATGGCGCATGGCGCATGGTGCATGGTGCATGGTGCATGGTGCATGGTGCATGGTGCATGGTGCATGGTGCATGGTGCATGGGGCATGACAGGGATCTGAGTGCAGCACCTAGAGTCAACCTATCTGCCTCACAGGACCGTCTCACCGGTTCGATCCCGTCCTCTCTAGGTCTTCTCTCACGCCTCACATCCCTGTACGTACCTCGTGCTTTCACAAGACCCCCAGCCCTCGTCTTGCTTGTAGCGTCGTGTGCTCGCTGAGCCATCCCCATGGGTTTGGAATGGCTTCAAGTGTGCATTACTTCAAATCAGATGTAAGCTCCAGACGCGAAACGTTGAACCGTTCAATCTCCCCTGCTCTGCCCACGCTCTCCCTTCCTCACTCTCGCTGTTTGCTACCATCCTCGCACACACTGCTGTCGTCCCTCTCCCTCCTTCAACCCATCCTCGTTTCTTTCCCTCTCCCAGGGAAATGGCCAGCAACGACTTGCAAGGGTCCATACCCGAGTCTCTGTGGGACCTCAAGGCGCTTGTCAAGCTGTCAGTCAGCTCCACTCAACGCACCCTCTTGCCTCTTGCCTCTTGCCCCTTGCCTCTTGCCTCTTGCCTCTTGCCCCTTGCCCCTTGCCCCTTGCCCCTTGCCTCTTGCCCCTTGCCCCTTGCCCCTTGCCCCTTGCCTCTTGCCCCTTGCCCCTTGCCTCTTGCCTCTCACTGCATTCGTCACTTCCTCTCCTCTTTCCTGCTCCCATACACTCCTCTCTCCTCATCGATTGCATCACTCCCTCAACGCGGCGCCTGTTCTGTTACAAAGTGTGACATTGCTCTCCATCATGCCCTCGCAGCAGCTGCACCGTGCGTGCGTGTATACAGTATTCACGCACCTCCTCTCGCCCTCTCCTCTATCTCACCCGCTCCTCTATCTCACCCGCTTCCCTCAGCTTTTGAGGTGTTCACAAAAACTTCCGCTCGCGCACTCCATCTCGTCCGTGTCCCTTCCCGCGTGTTCTCCCTTCCACAGTCGCTTCACTTCCCTGTTCAATCATGCGCTTCTACCTGCACTCCACTTACACTCCCACTCCCTTCCCAACACCCCCGTCCGTCGCTCCCCTTCCCCCCCCAACCCCCTTGCAACAACTACGACCCCCACCCTCCTCGTGCGCCCGTCGTGCTGTCTCATGACCCACAGCGACCTCAGCAGCAACCGCCTCTCAGGCTCGCTCTCACCCGCGCTAGGCACTCTCCCATTGCTGCACACGCTGTAAGCCCACCTCACCCACCTCCTTCCCCACGCCCCTTTGCTGCCCTCCCGTGCTGCCCTCCCGTGCTGCCTCTGTTCCTTTGGCGTACCTTTCGCGTTGTTCCACCCATCCTCCTCGGTTCCTCTTCCGCCGTTCCACCATAACCGCCCTGCCTCCCTCTCGTTCTCCTGCTTACCTCTTCCAACCTCTCGTATCTTTGGCCCCTGTTTCCCCCGCTTCCCTCCCCTCCCCTTTGCTCTCCCTCGCAGTCTCCTCAACAACAACTCCCTCCAGGGTGCGCTCCCAGCATCCGTGGGTGGCTTGTGGCAACTCGAGATGCTGTCAGTCTGGGAGGGAAGGGCGCAAGAGGGGAATGGGAGGAGAGTGGAAAGGAAGGGAAGGAGGGGAGGGAGGGGAGGGAGGGTTAAGGAGCCGAGGGGGAGAGGTGGAGAGGGGCTGAGAGGAGAGGTGTGGTGTGACTGGTTGAGGTGTGTTGGTAGAGGGATGTGTGGGAGGAGAAGACGGGAGCATGACAGTAGGTGGTCACGGGGAAGAACACGGCCATGCTGTGCTCAGTGCGCTTTTGGCATTTCTACAGCTTGCTTCCGCCCTGCTGTTTCCGTGCAAGCCGGAATTGAAACATGGCCATGCTGCCACCCTTCCACCATGCCTTCTCCAACTCCTTTCATCTCGATTTCGCCCTGTACTTTGGCAATCCCTGCTTCACCTGCCCCCTTCTCCCTCCATCTCCTTATTCTGTTATGTCCCCTATTCTCCCTCCCCTCATCTCACCCTCCGTCATCTCTCCCTCGCTCCCTCCCTCCCGTCATATCTGCCATCATTCCGAAGCAGTGATGTGGCCTACAATGCTCTCTCTGGTGTCATCCCACCCACACTCGGCACCCTGCCCAACCTCCTCACTCTGTGAGCCGCCATCCCTCTGCCAACCTCTGCACATCCCTCTGCCAACCACTGCACATCCCTCTGCCAACCACAGCACATCCCTCTGCCAACCACTGCACATCCCTCTGCGTCAATGTCAACACAACCACCGGTGCATCCACCCACCCTCCCATCCACCCATCCATGGATCCACTTTCAACTCATCCACCGCACGCTTCTTTCCCCTCCCCTTCCCTCCTCCTCCTCTTCTCCCCGTCTCACCTTCCCCGGACTGCTGCCTCCACTGTTCATAGCATTCCGCCTCCTACTCCACTCCCCCACCCCTTTTACCCCTCTCATCCCCCCTCTCATCCCCCCTCTCACCCCCCAGCTCCATCTGGCCCAGCAGCGAGACCCCAGGCCCTGTCTGCCCCGCTCCCGCCTCTTGCCCCATTGCTCCGTTGCCCCTCTCCGCCTTCTGCTCGCTCTGCCCCCGCTACTGCACCGCCTGTGCACCAGCCGCAGGTGCCTTGGAGAGGAACTCGTGGGGAGTTAGTGGGGCGAGGGGGAGGGAGAGTGGAGGTTGGCACGAGAGGCATATGTGTGGGGTGTGAGTTGCATGTATGGATGCAGTGAGTGATCTGTCGAGGATTTGTCTCGTCAAGAATTTCCCAGACCGTCAATTGACATGGATGTTCCTAATCATCCTCATCCTCCACCATGTATGTGTGTTCAGATCAGCACCATATCTTGACATGCCTCTCAACCCCATACCCTCACCACCCCATGCCCTCACAACCCCATGCCCCCAACGCCCTCAGGCCCACCGTTCAACACCCCCTCTGCTCATTTCGAATCCCCCGCTCCTCCCCTCGGCACCATCTCCCCTGCCCTCACATACCCACCAGGATTTCCCCCAGCACTTTCGGATGACTACTCATTTGAACCCCCCGAACAGCCCATCTCGTACCCCCTTGCCCCTGCTTCCCCTGCTCAATCCCCACCGGCACCCACGTTCCAAGTCCACCTCCCACCTGCACTCTACTCCTTTCCATCCCCTCCTCCTGCTGCTCTCGTCACCACCCCATCTTCTCCACCCCCTCGTCCGCCTCTCACTCCAGCCTCCACTCCTGGTTCGTTGCTTGGTTCTGCCCCCACCACTGCTCCACCTCCCTCGACTACCTCTGTCACCCTTGCTTCCCCCGTCCTCCACAAAACTCTTCGAGGCGTGGCAGCCCCACCCTCCTCACCAGCACCCCTCTTCCCGGCGGTAATTGCTGCACCACCGTTGCCTGTAAGCCCAGCGGCAGCTCCCATGCCGGCAGTTACAGTTGCCAAAACTGCTGATTCCTTTGTCAGCGCTCCTCCCGCTTCTGCTGCTCTGCATGGTAAGGCGGCTACTGGCTCTGTAGCTGGCACCACGATTACTTGCGTTGCTGTCTCATGGGGTGCTCTGCTGCTGCTGCTGGCTTTGTGAACAACCATTGAGCAGGAGTGAATGTCTTGGGCGAAGAGCTGTGTGAAACGGTTGGATGATCGGGTTATGCCTTTCACTAGTTTCTTTTATGGTGGACGATGAGGCATACAGTGCTATTGTTACGAGTGCAATTGAGTGAACGAACGAGAATTGCACTATCGAAGCAAGAGTACAATGAGCGAAGGCATGAGCGAAGAATATATAGCGAAACTACAGTGGTAACGGCAATGGACTGTGGTTGTCGCGCGACGGGCCTGGGACTGAGGTTGGGAAAAAGTGTCGAAGCGGAGACCCGGAGCGCGGGTTACCCGCCGAGCCGTGAGGTCGGGGTGCGACGTGCGAAGGTGGCGGGCGGATTGTCGATGCGAGGGTTGCGAGTGGTAACGGTGCTGACTGTGGTGCTACACTGATGTACGCGTTGAGCAGGGATGCGAAGTAAGGAAAAGGAATTTTCCTTACACTACCCCCCCCCCCTAAGGAGGTCCTCCTTACGAAAGTGCGTGTACATCCCTGAAGTTTCGGCTGCGCAGATACTCGGTGAGGACGGGGTGGTTTTCGATTCTGTCCAGGGGAACCCAGTTGTCTTCGGTGGGTGTACGGTCCTTCCAGCGGAGTAAGAACTCGATCCTTCGGGCTCCTCGAGGGTCGCGAACTCTGTGACTCAGGATTTTCTCGGGGGTGATGATTGGTTCAGTTGGTGGTCTTGTCATGCTGGCTGGGCGATTGCGTGGCAGTTGGCTCGTGGACGGGACGTAAGGGCGAAGTAGGCTGACGTGGAATGAGGGGCTGACGTACCAGTCAGCAGGGAGGAGGAGGTGGGCGGTGACGGGTGTAAGCATGTGGCTTATGCGAAATGGCCCGCAGTATCGGGGGCGGAGTTTCGGGATGATGGGCAGTCGGAGGTTCTGAGTGTCAAGTAAAACTAAGTCGTCGGGCTGGTAAGTGACAGGTCTGCGGTGGCGGTCGGCGTTGCGTTTAGCGATGATGTTCGATTTTTTTATTGCGTCTACTGCCCGGGTCCGTGCTGCTTGTAATATTTCGGCGAACTGTTGTGCTCGTGGTACTGGGTTGTCGGGATTCGGGGTCATGGGTACTGTCGGGTCTTGTCCGTAGTTTAGGTAAAATGGTGACTGTTGGGTCGTGGCAAATGGCGAGTTGTTGTACGCGAATTCGATTAGTGGCAGTTGCTGTTCCCACGTGGTCGGGTCGTCACACGTGGCCCTGATGAGCTGTTCCATGGTCTGATTTGTCCGTTCTGTCTGTCCGTCGGTTTCGGGGTGGTATGATGAACTGAACTGCAGTCGCGTGCCGAACTGCTGCCACAGGTTCCGCCAGAATTTGCTGGTGAATTTCGTGTCGCGGTCGCTGATGATCGCGGCTGGTATCCCGTGCAGTCGAACGACGGTGGAGATGAAGAGGCGTGCTGTTTCTTCGGCTGTGATTGATTTTTTGCAGGCTGCGAAATGTGCCATTTTCGTCAGTCGATCGACGACGACCAGGATCGAGTCGTTCCCACTCGCCCCGGCTGGTAACCCCGTGACGAAGTCCATCGTCACCTGCTGCCAAGCACGCTCTGGGGGTGGTATCGGCTGCAACTGTCCCGCCGGCCGCTGTCGTGATGATTTCATGAGCTGACAAGTGGGACACGGTGCCACGTGTCGTTGGACGTCGGTCAACATTTCGGGCCAGTAATAATACTGCTGCAGCTGCTGCCGTGTTTTTTCTACTCCGAAATGTCCCGAGGTAACTCCGTCGTGTGCCTCCTGTAACAGTAATTCCCGTAGCAGTGTATACTCAGGCACCCAAATGCGGTCATTCCCGGTTTTTACATAATAGACTCCCTTTGCTGCTGCGAACTGCTGCGAATTTCCTCCTGTGAAGAATGGATCCGTTTGGTACCCGTGGGTGAATAGGCCTGTCAGTAGCGGGCTTGTCTGGGCGAGTAGTATTGCGTGGATCTGGGCAGTGGGGCGGGTCAGTGCGTCGGCGATGTTCGAGGCTCCCTTTTTGTAAGTGACCGTGTAGTGAAAGTTGGACTCGAGGAAATCGAGCCAGCGAATCTGTCGTGGGTTGAGGTGTGGCTGTGCGCGAAGGTGCTGTAGTGATTTATGGTCTGTCCGTACTGTCACGTCCGCGCCAGTCAAGTAACAGCGCCATACTTTGAATGCGTGCACGATCGCAAGCATTTCGCGGTCGTGTATCGGGTAATTTTTCTTGGGCGGATGCAGTTTTCATGACTCGTATGCGATAGGCTGTAGGCCATTGCCGAAATCCTGTAGCAGTACGGCTCCGATGGCGATATCGCTTGCGTCGGTAACTACTTCGAATGGGCGGTGTGGGTCGGCGATGCGCAGGACGGGCGGTGAACAGAGAACATTTTTCAGGGCAGAGAAGGCAGCATGCTCTTTCTCCCCCCACGTAAAAGCGACCCCCTTCCGCAGTAAATCCGTCAGTGGGGCAGTTAACCGTGCCATATCGGGGACGAACCGACGCACATAATTAACGAACCCTAAAAAGCTCTGCAGCTCCGTGATGTTCGTCGGGGGATGCCACGCTTTTACCGTATCCAGCTTCTTTGGGTCGATTTCAACTCCAGCCTCCAAAATAACGTGCCCCAAAAATTCTAACCTATCCTGGAAGAACTCGCACTTGGAACCCTTGGTCAGTAATCTGTGCTCGTCTAAAACCTTAAACACTGCTTCCAGATCTGCTAAGTGCTGCTGCTTATCCCGACTGTACACTAGGATGTCGTCGAGGTAAACTATTACACATTTTTCTAAGAGCGGCCTAAATGCCTCGTTCATGGTCATCTGAAAAGTCGCCGGTGCGTTGGTCAGCCCGAATGGCATCACAGTGTACTCGAACGACCCGTACCTAGTCCTGAAAGCTGTTTTGGCGTAGTCCGATGGTTCGACCCCAATCTGATGGTAACCTCCCCGTAAATATATTTTCGAAAAAACCCGTGCTGTTCGCAGTTGGTCGATCAGTTCGTCGGCGCGGGGAATGGGGTACCGCGACTTGACTGTTACCCTGTTCAGTGCTCTGTAGTCGATACACATGCGAAAACCCCCGTCCTTTTTCGGCGTGAATAGTATCGGTGCGGCGAACGGTGACGAGCTCGGTCTGATGAATTTTTTCTCTAACAGGTAATCTAACTGCTTCCTTAGTTCGTCGAGCTCGGGCTGTGTCAGTCTGAACTGGCGCTGTACGGTTGGCTGTGCCCCCGATTCTAATTCGATTCGGTGGTCATGTGCTCGCTGAGGTGGCAGTCCTTCCGGTAAGTCGTCGGGGAAAATCCCTGGGTATCGTTTCAACAGTTCCTGTAATTCGGGCGGTACGGCTGCCAGCAATTTCTTGAAATCACTCGGCTGCTCTGCTTCCTCTACTACTGCGATGTCTACTGCGTACACATCAGCTCCAGCAGCGACAGCCCGTTTCATTGTGATGGCGTTGACATGTACCGTTGAAGACTCGGACAACTGCCAGCAAGGTAGCTCGACCCAGTTACCACTACTTCGCACGGTGTAGCTACCCGTCGTCAAGTCAATTCGCGGGTTATACCGTCGCAGCCAATCACGTCCCAGTAAAATATTGTGCTCATCCAGTGTCGTTGCGAGCATTTCCTGTGTAAACCCGAAATTTCCCCCGCAACGGACTTTGACTCTCTCTACCTTTTCCCGTATGGCCAGTGGCGTGCCGTCGACTAAGCGTGCGTCTATCTCCGGTAAGCAACGGCTAAGTGTCAGCTGCAGTTTTTGTGCGGTTGCGGTATTAACTAAACTGTGGCTTGCTCCTCCGTCGATAAAAATCTTCACTGCTGCTCCCTGTATTTTCCCGTGGATCAGTACTGGGCAATCCGTCGCTGTACCCTCCTTATTCGTCCGAGTCCGATCAATAGCATGAATCGGTACTGTGACTCGGTGAGGGTCGGTGGGGTTGGGCGAGCAGGCAGTCTCGTCAGTAGTTGGCCCGATTCCTACTGACTGCTGGCGTTTCCCTGCTTTGGAGACTCCCTCCCCTGCTCTGCTCCGCGGCGCCTTAGCTCCTCTGGGCATTCGCTCTTGCGATGGCCCGGCCTGATGCAAGCAAAGCAGCGCCCCTTAAACGGCGCGGCAGCTGCATTCGTCGCAACAGCGTGTACAGTGGCGTGCTCGATCGGTCCCCGAGGACGATGTCAATAGTAGGACCCCGGTCTCGGACGGCGTAAAATGTCGATTTTCTCGGCGAGCGCGAGAATCTCGTTGAAGTTCGAGAGCCCGCGTAGCATGATTTCGTGCGAGATGTCCGGCTTCAGCCCTCCGACGTAACGGTCCACCCGCTCCGCTTCGTGCATGTAGCCTGAGAAATAACGAGGAATGGATTGACTAAGGGAAAGTTGGGTACAAAAGCAAACCCTAGAAAACTGTACCCCATATGTGCTACCACACTATAGCCTACAGTAGCTATGTCATATAAATCTGACATAGCCGACTTGCTCGCATAATGCGAGAAAACCACTCGTATAATCTTGAACCGATCCAAGCTGCCGCCAAGTGCGCAATCTCTGACACGCCGAAATAGAAGCCGCGATCGGCTCGAAGCGCGCCCGAAGCCCTGCGCACCACGCATCCCACGTGCTGTATTGGGCGGTCTCGCAGAATGAACTCCAGGTGACAGCTGGGCCCGTGGGCCCTTCCTCTTGCGACGGTGGCTCGTAGGCGCGTGGCGACGTCACGATTGTCTGACTTATATGATCTAGCCTGTGTAGGCTGTAGCGGGTTAGATACTAAGGGGTACACAATTCTAGGGTTTCATATTTGTATCACACTCATTCCTTAGTCAATCATTCCTCATTCTTTCACATGGTATAGAGCAGGTTCCCTAGTGGGAACGATTCCTAGGGCCCACCGAAAATCGATTTTTTTTTTTTCCTACCCGGAGCGCGCTTCGACCCTGCCCGAGTCACGCCCCGTGTGCCTGCCCTCCCGTCGCGTCCCCTGCCCTTAGCGGCCCGTCGCGCT